ATAAAGTGATAAAAATCACTTCCCCCAACAGTCACGGAAGACTGAAAAATTTCTAGTAAACCAAAAGAACCATAATCACATGACATTAATTGATTAATCTTCAACTGGAAATACAACCGGGTATTTAAGGATAATGATTCGACTCCAAGCCTTAAGTGTTTGGATGGAGTGGTCGAAATTTTAAATTTTATTATTATCATGAACTCCACTCAGAGCGATTTGATGATCGCACGCTTCATTTAAGAGAATGAAATATTCACCAAATCTAGAGATCGAAATCTCAGTTGCTTATAAGTAATTCATACTAATTTTTTAATTATTACTTTTGTTAGAAAAAAAAAAAAAAACTGAAAAAAAAAAATCCACAATAATAATAACATGATGCAGGCGGCTCTGCAATATTAATGCCTCCCCATCATCATCGCTGCCTTGTCTGTACGCCTCCATTAATTAAAATAAATAAATAAAACCTAACTACCTCTTCTTCCTCCTCCTCCTCACTCTACACTTTCCTCTTATGCATCACTGCTTTCTCCCGAGATCTATCCATACTTCCATTCTCAATCTGCAAATGTGATTCGTGTGATCTCCCTTGGTCCAATCCAGTCTTCTTCTCATTTGCTTTGATTCCATCGTCTTCTTCAAGTTTCTCTGATTCTATGAAACTACTGCTTGCGTGAGTGAAACATTTCCGACTTTTCTTTTCCATTTTCTTTGCTCTTTTTTTTTTCGGTGATATGATTCTTCTTTAATCACCGAAATGCGAATGCAAATATAAACCCACTTTTTTCCTTTTGCTTTTTTGTTGTTGGGGGCATCGGATTGTTAATAAAACAGCTGATTTGGGATTTAGTTTTGGGGGTGTTTTTGCAGATTCGAGTGGTTGATGCAAAGCTGGATGTAAATAAAAATAGATATCATCGCCTTCACGGGTTGAATTGAGCATAGCTCAGTCCTCACTGTGTCTTTGGTAAGAATTTACTATCAGCTAAAATCAATTTTCCCACATTTTGATTTCTGATGAAATCGGGTTTTTAATTTATGTTTTTCACGGTATGTAGTGATATCATGTAGTGATCCAGCATTTCAATTAAGTCTGTTTGGCTGCCTAGAAAATTTTCTTTATTTTATTCTTTGGATGAATAGTTACTCTGATAAGTCCGGCCTGAACTGCAAAATACCGGTTATTGGGTAGAAGGCATTTCTCTGGTCTCTCTCTAACCAATTAATTCAGTAGTTAGTGTTTTAAAATCTGAAATATAAATTTTTTTTTAGTGTTTAAAGTGGTGAAAATTTAAAAAAAAAAAAAATTGCGACTTTCATTATTGATGGTGTTGATTTGGTAAGATCAGTTTGTGATTGTGATGAAGCTGATCTTGTGGGGTTGCTGAAATTTGCTTCTGGTCAGCTAAAATGATGGTGATGGAATTTGGGTTTATGTTCTTTGTGCTTCTGGGTCTTCTTATCACTGTGAAGGCGGAGATTTACATTGTGACTATTCAAGGAGAACCCATTGTAAGTTATAGAGGTGGTGAAAATGGCTTCGAAGCCACAGCTGTGGAATCAGATGAGAAGATTGACACAAGCAGGTATTTTTGCTAGATGACCCATCAACGTTTCTATTCCTGTGTTTTAATATAGATTTTCTAGTCTTAATTTTAGATTCTGGATTACCACTTTTATATCAGTTTATTTATGCCAGCCAGCATGACAAAGCCTTATATTAGAGGAAAATTATTAAAAAAATATTTTGTAATTTATAATGCACCGAATGGTGGAATACAGCGAATTACAAACCACGAGGATCCTGCAAAACACTGGACTTGGAAAAGTATTTACCCACTATTAAAGTCATACAATGGGTTTCTAAGTCAATGACTCACTGTCTAGCACTGTTGCCATTTTTAAGTGGGGTCCTAGTTTTGACAAAGACGTCTTTCTTGAATGATTTGCGCCTAAGAAATTCATTGATTTGACAAAACGTTTTAACCATTTTATAACGAAAAGGTGTTGTGGTTTGAACCGTAAAACCTTAAACACTAAGTGAGGACGTGTTTGTTGACAGTGGAGTTTATTTTCTTATTTAATAATTTTTATTATACAATTTGACCCGGGCTAAATGAAAAAAAAGAAACTGATTAGATAAAAACAAGGGAAGGTATTTCGGTAGCTTCTAGCTGTATTTAGACGTGTGAAGTAGTAATATTCAAGTCCAGAAAGTGGTTTTATTATTATTGAATTTTTCCAATATATATGTTTATAGAATTTCTGTTAGTATTTCTTGGTTTTTGGATACTTTTTAAGGCTCATTGATATAAATTATTATTCTTAGTGCACTGTAATATTTGATAATTTTCTCCAATACTTCTTCTCTTTCTTTTACTTTGGTGCATTTTCCAGTGAATTGGTGTTATCTTATGCTCATCACCTCGAAAGGAAACATGACATGCTTCTTGGCATGCTGTTTGAAAGTGGGACTTACAAGAAAGTCTACAGTTATAAACACCTAATAAATGGTTTTGCAGTTCACATTTCTCCTGAGCAGGTGAAGCTTTTGAGTCCTCTTGCAGTTATGCTTCCTTTTTGAAATGATGATATACTTAACTAGATTTGTAATTTTTTTGTTCTATTGATATTTAATATCTTTTACTCTCATTAGTTAGTGATGAGTGAAGAAATATTTACCTTCTCTCGATATGTGTAGGCAGAGACCCTGAGACGTGCCCCTGGTGTGAAATCTGTGGAGAGAGATTGGAAAGTGAGGAGACTTACAATTCATACCCCACAGTTTTTGGGGCTTCCAACTGGGGTATGGCCAACAGGAGGTGGCTGTGACAAGGCAGGAGAAAACATTGTGATAGGATTCGTGGACTCAGGAATTTATCCACATCATCCGAGTTTTTCAATCCATAATACTGAACCATATGGGCCTGTGCCCAAGTACAGAGGAAAATGTGAGGTTGATCCTGATACCAAGAGGGACTTCTGTAATGGAAAGATTATTGGGGCCCAACATTTTGCTGAAGCTGCAAAAGCAGCCGGTGCATTCAATCCTGCTATTGATTTTGCATCTCCAATGGATGGTGATGGACATGGAAGGTTAGTTGCCATTCCATTCTGGGTTCTACCGTTTCTTCCTTTGGTGGTTAGGATAATAAATGGAGCTTCAGAAGGTCACGGGTGATGAAACTTTTGTTTGTAAAATTTACATATTCTTTGGGAAAGTGGTAATGTATGCTATTAAGATAAAAAGCTTACATACTCTTTACTGGTTTTTTGTGAAAGAGATAAAAATCTGATTCTTTTGTATTACTAACAGTCACACAGCTGCTATAGCTGCTGGGAATAATGGTATTCCTGTGAGAATGCATGGCCATGAATTTGGCAAGGCAAGTGGAATGGCTCCTCGTGCCAGGTGCGGATTACAAAATTTCATTGGTGATAGGCTAAATAAAAAATATAATATTATCATTTGATATGAGAGTGGAACCTATTTGTTTCAGGATTGCTGTCTACAAGGCACTTTATAGGCTTTTTGGAGGGTTTGTTGCAGATGTTGTAGCTGCAATTGATCAGGTGATCTTCTAAGCTACGTTAAAACTTTATAGCTGCAAAAAGTTTCTACTTTAATGATATCATTTGACAATAGGAGTGAATCTGAATAGCTACTTCCCTCTCTATACTGGCTTTGTTAGTATGTTTTTTTGGTAAACTTATGGTGAAAAGGATTAAGAGCATGTTTGGTGAAGCTTATAAGAACTTCAGCTTTTTGATACTATTCATGTTTCACAAATTTAAATTTCCCTCATAAAAACTTACATTTTGAAAAACTTCAAATTTGTGCTTTTTATAAATTTCCTTTTTACTCACTTCTTACTCACTTTTTTCTATTTCTAAAAGCAATTTTTAAATTTTCTCTCCAATAAAAATTTAAACTTATCACTCATAAACAGTACAAAAAAAATAAAAGCTCTTACAAGCTTCACCAAACATGCTCTAAATTAAAAGGGGAAAATGCATACTCTTTAAATAAATTTTTTCTTGTAGACTCTTATTTTCTGCTACTAATGTCATCTGAAGAGATCTGATTAGATCCCACTGCTAATCAGTTCTACATCCTCTTAGGCTATATTTTTTATGTCAAATTGTCAATACCATTCAAGAAAGCTTGTAATTTGACAGATCTTTTGGCACAGGCTGTTCATGATGGTGTGGATATACTCAGCCTCTCAGTGGGGCCAAATAGTCCTCCAGTAACCACAAAGACCACATTTCTAAATCCTTTTGATGCCACGCTCCTAGCAGCTGTCAAAGCTGGTGTATTTGTTGCACAGGCAGCTGGAAATGGAGGTCCTTTCCCTAAAACTTTGGTTTCTTACAGCCCATGGATAGCATCTGTTGCGGCTGCAATTGACGACCGCAGATACAAAAACCATCTGACCCTGGGAAATGGGAAAATCTTACCTGGACTTGGACTGTCCCGTAAGTTCTATGAACTTGACTCTTTGTTTCCTCTAATATTTTAGGATGATAGAGCAAATATATATATATATATATATATTAGTGAAAGCAGCAGTTAAAATCAGATGCACCTATTCTTTTGTACTGTTGGGAAGAATTGTGTGATGCTGTTAAAATCAGTATCAGTTTTCTTCTGTTATGTTTTTGGCTCTTATTTTGTGATAGTGTGTACTCATCAATGTTGTGGTTGGGGTTTGCTTAAGAGTCAAAATTGTTTGCTATTTTCTTTGGATAAGTCAATAACTTTTCAAAACTGAAGTATTTCTATCATGAATTTTTGCAGCCTCTACTCATCCAAATCGAACATATACCTTGGTTGCTGCTAACGATGTGCTTCTGGATTCATCAGTATCGAAGTATAGCCCCTCAGATTGCCAAAGACCTGAAGTTTTAAACAAGCATTTGGTTGAGGGGAACATTCTTCTTTGTGGCTATTCTTTCAATTTTGTTGCTGGTACTGCGTCAATCAAAAAAGTATCAGAAACAGCAAAAGCCCTGGGGGCAATTGGTTTTGTTGTTGCTGTGGAAAATGTTTCTCCTGAAACAAAATTTGATCCTGTTCCATCCGGTATTCCAGGGATCCTTCTCACTGATGTTTCTAAATCAATGGTAATTAATCTCTCTCTCTCTCTCCTCATGATTTCCTGAAGCTTCAAGGTTTATCACGGGGACTGGTGCTAGTCCACAGTATGCTCTCATTGTTTGGGAAAATTTCACTACCATTTATTGGTAATTGGGTGCTCAGTTTGGTACTTTAACCACTGTTCTATCTGAACTTTTTACCTTCCTGTGCATGATTCTTATGTTTATGTTGTTTGGTGCTCGGACATAACTGTGCTACAGGATCTCATTGATTATTATAACATTTCTACACCAAGAGATTGGACTGGACGAGTGAAGAGCTTCAAAGCTGTAGGCAGCATTGGGGATGGTTTGATGCCTATTCTCCACAAATCAGCACCACAGGTAGCATTATTCTCTGCTCGGGGGCCGGACATAAAGGATTTCAGTTTCCGAGATGCAGATGTTCTCAAGCCTGACATTCTGGCTCCTGGTTCTTTAATTTGGTCGGCTTGGTCTCCAAATGGAACAGACGAGCCTAATTTTGTTGGTAATAATATGTTCAATTCCAGGTTTCTTTTTCATTTTGATAATATTCTCAAATAATCATGTAGAGAAACTTCAAGAGTATGTTAGAGGGCAAGAAACATCTGCTTCTTAAAAATGAAAATTTTCTTACATCTTGAGCAATTCCTTTGATTTGATAGGAGAAGGATTTGCTATGATATCTGGAACTAGCATGGCCGCACCACATATAGCAGGAATAGCTGCTCTTGTGAAGCAGAAGCATCCTCATTGGAGTCCTGCTGCTATAAAATCAGCATTGATGACAACAGCGACAAAGCTGGACAGAGCAGGAAAACCTCTTCTAGCACAACAATATTCTGATACAGAGGCCATGAAGTTTGTGAAAGCAACTCCTTTCGATTATGGCAGCGGCCATGTTAATCCAAGAGCTGCTCTGGATCCTGGACTCATATTGGATGCAGGTAATTGTTTCTTCAATTCTGTCAGCCATCACTTGAATTGCTTATTTATTGTTTTGAACTCATTGCAGATGTTTGCTGTTTGGTGTAAGAATAGCTTTTGTCTAACATTTCTCCTCCTCCCCCCCCAATCCTGCGGACGTGCCTTTTGTAGGTTATGAGGATTACTTGGGGTTCTTGTGCACAACACCTGGTATTGATACCCATGAGATAAGGAATTACACAAGCTCACCTTGCAACTTCTCCATGGGCCAACCATCAAATCTCAACACCCCATCAATCACAATCTCACACCTCGTGAGAAGTCAAACAGTTACTCGCACTGTCACAAATGTAGCTGAAGAAGAAACTTATGTTATCACAGCCAGAATGCAGCCCTCCATTGCCATAGAAGCCAGCCCTCCAGCAATGACTCTTAGACCTGGTGCATCACGGAAATTCTCAGTGACTCTTACCGTTCGCTCAGTAACTGGAACTTACAGTTTCGGGGAGATTCTAATGAAAGGCAGCAAAGGGCACAGGGTAAGGCTTCCGGTGGTGGCAATGGGATACTGGCGGTAGGTTGGATTGGGGATGGATTATTGTTGTAATACCATTCTTTGTAACCTTTGGTAATAAAATGTATCAGGCTAGATATGTATGTGGAATGGCTGTATAAAAAAAAAAAAAAAAGTAAGTGCGGTGGAGATTTCTAGTTTCTTCCATTGTAGTATGAGTATTGCTAATTCGCCTACTAATTTGATAAAATGCTTCATATTTGGTCTTTAAAATCATACCAAGGAGTTGATATCCTTAGCTGTCCCCTAATCTTTTAGGTTTGTTTCAACTGGGTCCTTAATTGTTATTTTGTTCCACTTTGATCTTATTAAACTAATCAATTAACTGAACTATTATTTTTAATAAATTGAAATTAATTACAAAAACAACA